GGCTTCTTTGGCGCCATCAATTAGTTCTTCCTCAAGCCTGAGGTGCACGTTCGTTTTCTGAATGAGAGTCAGTCAGTCGTCAAGAAAGCCCTCCTCCTTGCAATGCAGCCCAGCGTCCTTGTGACTGAGGCCATGAAATGCACATCCAGTCGGAAAATGTTTCTCATGGTTTAAACCGATGCATGCCACCATCATGCAATCGCATCATCACTTTCTGTCATATTTGCATGGCATACAAAAGATTTTGCGGATATTTTCATCTAAAGGGAAAAATAGCGGTAGCTGAGGAATCTGATTTATTAAGTAACAGACAGTCGGAGTACAGTCACAACTCCCGCATTGCTGGCCGAGGATATTAGGATGTGCTCTAGTTCTCGTCAGTACGCATAAAGATATGTGCTGTCTCGTGAGCTGATCACTGAAACTCTGAAATGTGTTTTGGATTCGAAAATATTACTTAAGTGGGTAAGTAGTATTGATTATCGTGCAGCATAATTCCAAGATACTTCAGCCATGAAACGATGTCACCCTTCGAACACACGCCTTCCTGGCCGCCTGAAGTACAGTTTACCATTTCAAAATACTTCTTAAGTCATATGGATTTCCCACATTTATTTTCGCTGTCACTATAAAGTAGAATATATTTTACAGAAAACATGCCGAAAGGAGTCTTTCTTCGGTAGCAAATTATGTCTTTTTAAAAGTTTCTACTTTAAGAACGTGAAACATTTCATGTAAAAGAGTTTCTCGTGTTCACACGTAAAGCATGGTATCTGTTCATTTATCAAGGCTGTTTACCAGATGGTCCATCTCCATGGCAACATTTTATTTGCGCTAGAGGACGTGATCCTACTGATATAGACAAATGTGTGATTTACCTTAGACGGATGGTACGCGGCTCCTCCTTTCGGAACCCTGAATGCAGATGTGAAATCTGGTCGGTTTCAAAATTATTCGGGAACTTAAACAGTTTTTCTAAAACCTAATGATAACCTTCCTTTCGGTAGGAAAATTTGAAAAAACATGAATTTACAGGTATGTACGAACTTCTGCCAACATAACGCTAAGTGCATAAGTTCGGATTCAAGCATTTATTGCACCAAAGGCAGCCATTCCCTAAGAAGGGTTTAGCCGTTAATTTTCATAGGTATGCAGTGGCCTCGCGGTTGCATCTTATAAGTACTGCAACTCCTTGTGCATGAATCACCCGTATCTAGGGCTGCACCAGAAGATGCGTTCGAGCATGAAACCACATGTCCGGTGAGTAAAGCTCTTGTTGAAGCGCTCACATCTTCTTCTTCTTCTCAACTGCTTACCTAGATTCACATTTTCGTTTGTATCAGCAAAACAAGAACTATTCTCATGCATGCAGTCTAGCACTGCTCAATTTTTTTACTTTTTTGGTAAACGTTGTAACATAAAAGCACAAGGAGGCCTTACAAAAACAACTAAAAAGGACGGAAGAACGGGTTGTTTTTTCTCATCTTATTTTGTGTCAATATCTAGAGAGCAAGTGAGGGAGGATTCTTCCTTTTTGATAGCATAAAACTACAAACAATCCTAACCATTTCCATTATGTCAGAAACGACAGGTGCTCCTTAACAAAACCGACTTCAAACAGATACCCTCCTTGGACTTTCCTCACAAAGGCTACTGCCTTTGATGTTCCTAGGAAGTTCAAACTTGGAATGTCCAGCGAGTAGCCTCTGCGTAGGTTGACTTGCACAAGGAGCTGGCTCCTCGAGATTTATTCCTTGCGAAGTGTACGGAAGAGGGATAATTTACTGGTTCCGCGGCAGTGTCTGGCAGAAGCCGGAGATGTGGATGAAGATAGATAAAGCTATTGCCTTTGCACTGCTCTGGCAGTCAGCTGGTGCCCATTTACTCTGCCACCATTCACATTCCTCCAGCTTATTACCAGGACTTCTTTCTGCGACCAGCCATTTGATTACGTTTGAATCTATCGTCCCATTTGCATGTATTATTTGCATGCTTTTAGAACTAGACAACAGCCTTGTACAGCCGAATGGAAGGTTTGTGAATTTAATAATAGGTTTCGATCGCAAGTCCTTCGTAATCGTCGCCTCGTCTGTTTCCTTTTTCGTAGGTAGCAAAACATTTGAGCAAATCGTCGTGCGCCAACTTACCAGGAAGCTTTTTCCTAACTTCTTCTTAATGCTACCAAGTTGAATTCCGACTTTTCACTCTGCGATAACTTCCACGCTACCGCAAAGTGGACGAACGAAACTGAAGCCCGAACAGTCCTTAAATTTGATGCACTGGTAGTTACGACGATAAACATGTATTTTTGAAGAGAAATATATGAAGGGCCCTATAGAAGCTTAGGAGAGTATAGAGAAGTGTGATAAAACACATTTACGTTTACTTTGTCCACATATAAAAAGTCATCTACCCTGAATTGAACGCGGAAACAGTAACAGCACAAGATTAATTTTATGGCAAACTTGAATTGGCACCACTGTCTAAGAGTGCAGTAAGTACTTGTTGGCGGCCTTTCGAATGTCCTTAACGAACTAAGACTACAAGATAAAAGGCGACACACCACCTGACTGCAACGGCAAGCGAAAACAAAACGCCAAAGGCAGATCAGGACTGGTCCTCCCCATTTACGCCAATCAAAAAATTAGTAGGGGGTTTGGTGCGAGTTTGGACTCGGGCACCTTTACAGCTGAGCACTTCCCTTTAAAACCTGTTTGGGACCAACGCTGCCACCAGTAACAGCAGCAGCAGCAGTTGTGAAAGAAGCCAGAAAAAATGGAAATGCAAGGATTGCAGAAGAATTTCTTGAAGATTTACAATGAATTGGACACTGGTGCGAAGGGCAGAGTGACAATCAAGGAGCTCAGAGCGTACGCGGAGAAGAATGACCTGTCGGACGCTTTTTTGAAAGTAAGTGGCTATCGGGAGAGCTCGACAGAGGGCCAGCATCGCGGGATAATCTCCTGACTTTCAGCACTGTTCTAACATTAGAGATTCCGGTTGAGATCTTATGAATAAGCAATTCTAATAGTTAACAGACCTATCACGCCGGTAAAAACATCACGCGACAGATAGTTGCTTAAATTCATCCTTTCCATTCGGCTTCGAAAAAAAATAAGTTAAGCCTACTCCAACTAGCTGAGTTCAGTCTTCTCAACAGGTTTTTTCTTGTGTTATACCTCAGAAGAGTGTTCTCCATATTGATCTTTATGTCAAGCGGTCGTCGATTCACTTTCTTCGAGAGTACATCGAGCCAGTGAATTAACCCTAAGATACTCATGTCAAACTATATATATATATATAGCAGTAAGGGGGGTATGACAGCGTCTGGGGGTAACT